TCGTCGCGTGGGGGTGGCCGGGGTTCTGCCGGTGCCAAGTAGAGATCGAACCTACCACTCTAGTACGTCCCCCTGAGCGGTGATCATGAAGTGGCTAGATTCACTACCAAACACCCCACACTAGTTGATGGTGACCAGTAGCACCACCGCGTCGTATGCCATGCCGTTGCTGAATCCTATAACTGATCTCCTATACCATACATAGTTTGGTTGGTAGTAAGCTCGAATTACTCTAGTATCTACGACGTGCTAAGCCAGATATAGTTTGTCCACAGGAAACATTTCATGGTCCTCAGAATTCCCTACACTTTATGAACTATTCAGTGGAGCACATCGAAGCCGAATACCTTCCACAGCGGGATCTAACTCGATGTGGACGGCGCAGCGGTGGCTTAGTGATACTGGCTAGACGTCCACTAAAGCTGAGACCCTTCCTACGAGTGTCATTACAGGACACCAACTATCAATACTCTATGTTGGGGGGCAGAAATCGTGGGTCTCCCTATCACAAGAAAATTGATTAACATCTATATTCGACCACAAAGCCACCAACCCGCTATTACTCACTTACCGGACCTACCGTTGGAGGGTTGTATCCTGGTTGGAGACGTCAACGCTCACCATCCATGGGCTGGGAGCTTACCTACCACGGCAGATGAACGGGGATCATTTATCTATGAATGGCTGCGTGAATTTGGTCTGAAGCCTCTCAACTCGATCCATGATGCACCTACCTTCCAAGGAGCCCCTGCTATGTCGAGCATAGACCTTATTGCTGTATCACAGGAAATGGTATCGTAATGCAACAAATATGTCATGGAAAATACAATGGCTGCGTTTGATCACTTAACGATAAAGATAACTATGCAGTTGGCAAGTAGTTTCGTGGGACGGGGTGGTAAGGGAGCCTTGGCTAATAGGTGGAATCATAAGCTGGCGGACTGGCCAAAGTTTGGTCATGAGTTAGATACACTCCTTCAGAAAGTAGATTGGTCTTTATCTACGGCCTACCTACATAATAAAAAGCTCTCAAAACGGCCGCTAAGCGTAGTATCGCACGGGGGAGGCGACAAATATATAAACCTTACTGGAATGATCGTTTGAGTCTTCTGCGTCTTCAGAAAAATAAAATTAGGAGAGCTATAGTCCGCAGACGTCAGGCGGAGAAACCTTTTGATGAACTACAACGTAGCCTACGTAGAGTGATGAATGATTACCATGTAGAGCTCCGGGAAGCGCAGAAAAAGTCATGGATAACTTTTACTGAAAGCCTGACAAAGGCCTCCAAGAAGACTTGGAGAGTCCTGAAAAGCATAGAGACCGACTCATAAAAGTGGAATTAGAGGGTTATTTGGGGCGTGAGGCAGCAACGACCTACTCTACCTATTTATCTGAGGCGGTCTATAGGAGTAGACTCTGGCCTCCAAGTCTCAATAGAATAGGCGTGCTAATACCATGAAAGCCCACAAACTCAGAAAGCTGGCCTCTGTAGGTCCCGACGAAGCCACGACCGGTCACCACGACTTGCTTGATGCACAACAGTCTAAACCTTTCATGATAGGTGAGTTAGGCCTTCACAACTCTAGGTACTCCCCATCGATGGCGGCGAGGGAGAATAGTCCTTATTAGGGAAAAACCCACACCATGCAGTACAGTACACCACTACATCCTTGCTAGGATCGTAGAGAACATGCCACTGTATAGGACCGCTTTTGAGAGATTTCCAGCGAGAGAGGTTAAACAGATCAATACGTGCCAGTTGCGTGGTCTTCGGAAGACGAAGTAGCCTACCTGCATCAGTCTATTAGCACCGGAGTTAGAGGTCGAAAATCGTTGGTCTGCTTAGCCTGGATTTACGTAAAGCATATGACACTTGTGCGTTACAGGTGCTGAAAACGCGCATATTTATAGAGCGAGCTTTTGAGTTCGCTCAACCATCACGCGGACTCCGCTATGCCGACCACTCATCACTGCCGCATTATTATAAGACTGTCCACGTAGCTTCTCAACTGGGAGCTTCAAGTCCTCCGAGAAGCGGAATAACTGATCTGTGAGTCCTTGGGCCGACTTGTCGTGAGTGATGCCGAATCGGACGAACCGTTCCTTCACATAGAAAGCTGTGGGCTCTTCCAACACATAGCGGATGATCAGGACCGTCTGCTCAACATGTGCACGATCCGGAGTCGAGTCCAGAATAAAGCTTTAGAAGTCAGCCTTCCTCCTCTCATCCAGAGTTTCTTGGAGAACTTTACTCGAGACCACCTCAAGCTCATTTTGGATCTTCCACGACAAGTAATGCGGCGATCCCCTACTCGTTCCTTGTTTGATCTCATTGAGATGGGCTGCCAGGCAATCGTCGAACTGTGATAGTAGTTTGACTGAGCCCAAGAAGTTCCCGTTGTTCGCTTTACCAATACGCCCTTGGGAGCCACGAAATGCAAGACCACGAGTAGCTGAGAAGAGAGTGATTGCCAAGAGACGTCGCAAAATCTTGACCCATTTAGCGATCTCCCGCTGGATAACCTCCTCCACCACTGAGTCTATGCGAGGCTGCTTCCCTTCTTCACGCAAGAAGTTCTTCCAATCCAAGTAGCTCGTCATGTGAGCGGCACTCTTTTCATGACCGTATACGTCCCTACGTATGTTGCTCCATACAGTGACGCCATCTCTAGACGCAATCCAACAGCGGACGTGGACCCCCCGAAAAGAAAACAGGAGTAGCAACATATACTACGAGATTGAGAATTGTAGATTATCCAATCGCGTTTCCCTTTAAGACCTCCGGCTTCATAGGATGTCAGATGAGATGGGAATCCTTTAACCACTGGGAATTCAGGACAGGATCCGATGTGCAGTTCTCCATTTCCGAGACATTTCTACGGGCCATGCCGACGGGTCGGGTAGCGGAAACTTTAAGAATCACTTTCCTCGACTAACAGCTATGCAATGAGGCTCACTGGTAAGACATCACTTTCATCCATTTCGTTCCTCTCTTGACTTTCGTCCAGATTGGCTTCTCCATCTTTTTGCTTTTCGCCTTTGTTCTCAAGTAAGCAAAGGCCCTCTAGGGCAGTAGAAATCACTGATTTCGAGTTCCAGCCGTCTTTGAGTGACGTTATGCTTGAAATGCCCTCG